ATTGGGTGTGGCATGAGCGACAAGTTCCGCCCCTGGGTTCGTCGGCCAAGTTTCACCACTCTTGGGAAGGTCCCTTTGTGATCGTGGCGGCTCACAACCCTACCACCTATGTACTGCGCGAGGCCCTTGACGCTGACGGCCGAACCTTCACCGCCCATTGTGGAAAGCTTAAGCCTTACCGTGCGCACCCACCCAACGCCACAGGGTCTAAACTTCCTATATTACGCCCATATTTAGTCCCACAACCAGTTAGGGAGGAGACTGTGGAGACTATGCCGTCAGTGAGCCCTGCGGACAGGGCTCCGTCTGAGGAGGGGAGTATGTAACGGCGGGCATTCAAATCCGGAGTGACTCAGGAAAGGGGCTGTTTTGAGGTGGTTGATCGAAGTGGGTATTTTTGTTCCTCTTCAGGCGAGAAAACCTCGGAGTCGACACACGAAGTGAAGATAGTGCCTGAGAAGCCTGTGGATTGAATTATCCCCTCCCGTCGACCCACTGATTCTCTACCACCCCTCGTTGACGTTCACCACTTTTATTCTACACCTGTTTCCTACTCGTTTTCCCCTTTTCTCTCTCTCCTTGTAATAAGCTCTGGTTTCCTTCCTTACTTCTATCGTCTTACGTATGTCTGGAGACGAAGTAGAGGGAATGGTTGAACCTGTTGATAGGATTACCCCAGTGAACTTATAGCCAACAATCAAGGACCCGATTTAGGACCACAAAAACTCCACCCTGCTGAGAGTCACAAGCAGGAATCCGGCAAGACTGCTACAACAGGATTCTATCCAATTCGCGGGCACCTTTGCACCGTTATTTTTCCTTATTGGCTGTATTTCTCATTTTAATTATCGCACGCTAAACATTAGCTCATTTAAGTAAGTATTCCCATTGTTTTTTCTGCTTTTACACGCTTTACGTTTTTATTTAATTTTTTGATTTCCTGATATACCCCTACCACCCGTTCCGTAGTGGAGAATGCTGTGGTTTTACCTTTTTATGGCGAGCCCGAAACGACACTGCTGCCCAGTTATGTGCAAATGAGATTTTAGAAGAACCATTTTTGAGTAAATATTTATTGTGGAACCTCATTACTCAACAAATTCTGTCAAAATCCCACCAAAAATGAACAAATTGACAAGACAAAGCTCTTAAACACTGTCTACCAGTCTCACTCTGTTTAAAAATAATAATACCAATTGCCTCTTCGCAGGACGGGTACGGCAAACATAGTAGCAAGCACAAAGGTAAGCACTCCATACACAACGGCCTTCACGAACTCCTTGGTGTTTTCCATTCGGAACCAAAACGGATTCTTTATGGTGAAGGTGATTGTGATATGTGCCTTGCCCTTTCCATTAGAAGCAAAACACATACAAGTATAGGTGCCGGCGATATCCCAGGACTGAATGATTATACGACCATTATTGTCAATTTGGAGTTCTGAAGGTCCTGCTATCTGGATCCATTGGATAATCGGCCGAGGATAGCCCTTGGCAGAACACCGAATTAGGCTGGGTGGCGTTATCTGCTCATTAGCGCCTTCGACTTGAAAATCATGCGGTGGCGTGGGTACAATAATAATCTTTTTTTCAGCCTTACGCACTGAACTCAGCAAATCTGATTTATTAACAGGCGTACAGGCAGCTTTGAAAAACCCGGTCATCTCTTGAGTGATACGGAGGGGCGGCGAGTCTGTGGCGATGGTAAAATTGTTGCTGATGGGGTTCTCTGTTCGCGGCTTGGATATCCACAGTAGGGATTTGGGTGTCGCACACAGCTCCTCTCCTTCGCAGAACAGGTATTCTCCCACTTGGAAGACGGGCACGTCGTTAGGAGCTACCCTAAGTTTCACCGCATCGTGGCATTCTGCAAAAAACACAAAGGTTAGCACATGTTTGAAAGAGAGAGAGACGAACTTGCGCGCACTTGTGACGGACAGCCAAAATGCCTACACCCTCTTCGTTCTTCAAGGCTCGCTGTCCCAAAGTCGTGCCATCATAACAAACTGTTACAAGGCTTTCTTTCACTGGCGCTCCCGTCCCCCGAGGCTTAAACCCGTAACTGCTTCTGACTAGGTGATAACAGCTGCGTCAACGTCCCTGTTCTTCGGCGAGCAGGCGCACCCGACAGTTCACCTCCGCTTATTTAGCCCCACCTTCACGTGCACACATACCCGCATATACACGTGCGTCTAAATATGCGCGCCTGCCGCTCGACTAAGAAACCCCTCG